AAAAATATTCTCTGATTTCAATCCAATTCGCAATCTGATTGATAATTTTGATTTTAATCGACCATCATTTAACCCAAACTTAATGCTATTGCCAGCCCAGTGGAAACTAGATTGATTGAACGGTGTGAGTGTGGGTATAGGTGTGGGGTGTGGATATTGTTCTTTTCTTAATCCACATCCACATCCACTCAGACCTACACGTACACCCACCCCCATTCCACAACAAATATTTTTATGAGAAAAGAGAAATAGGATTTGGATGTGAGTGTGAATGAAAATGATATTGACCGCCATGCCTACTCTCCAAGGCACTTGCATGATCAATCAAAATAATTCAATATATTTTGTTTTAGAAGATACAATTCTGATTTTTCAGTTCGAATATCGAAAATTTCGAAACAACGAGATTAAAATCTAATGAATTTCATCGATTTTTTGCCGATAATTTAAAATAATAATTAATTGTAAAACACTTATTAAACAATAACAAGTTGAAAGTTTTTTTCATGAATATGAATTCATTGGACTTTTCAATTTTGATTAGAAACTAACAAGATAATCTGTAAACTACGTAGAATCGTTTATTTTTCACAGTCATTGACATCAAATTCCGAGCAGATACACGTATTGTTTTTTTTTTACTACTCGCTCGTTTTGACGAAATCTCGAAGTGATGATGAATGACTAACAGGTATTTACATTCTCTTGTGTTCTCTTTGTTTTTCTTTCTTTTGCGTCATAAAAATCGTACGCATTGTTTCTTCTTTACTTTTACTCTGACTCAAGCTGGAAATTTCTTTCTATCACAAAAATATTCGTTTCTATTTTGTCGATTTTTATTTATTCAGTATAATTTCACAATAGACAACATTCAGTTATATTTTTTCATCTGAAATGGTTGCTACGTAACTATGTAGTTTTCTATCTCGTTACATTTCAATAAATAAAATCTGTACATATCGTAAACATTAATATACTTCGTAAAACTAGTGGTTTTTGTGTTTAAAACTACATTCTTAATTAAATAAAATAGTTTGATTTGAAGAAGAAATCACCTGATTTGAAATCATTGTCTAAATCTGATGCTTAATCTTTTCTTTTTGTTTATAGATAATTGATTGAAATCATATATGATAATGGCAGCTACGGCTATTCAACAGGATGAAGCAACTTATTTTAAGTATGAAGATTTGATTTCTCGAGTTCAAACAATTCAAAATCAAGTTAAAACTATGGAAAGTATATTGGAAAATCGATGGAATAACAAAAAGACAGCTAATAATGCAATCAAATCACGCTCATTAACTTTTATCGATCCTTATGGAAATTCAATCACAAATAAGTATATGGATCATGAAATGATCGGTGACGCAATCAAAAAATTTAAGAAAACTTACATACCAAAATATTTACAGAAATGGATACAAAGTGGTATTCATGATGAACAAGGCTTAAGACAATTAGACGATAATAAACGACTATCAACTGTGTCTGATTACGTTGATGGTTTTCAACTGGTTTCATTTGGTCAGGTAGATGTATGGATCGGAAATTATCTTGAGGTAACGACGCGACATCTTAAGCTAAACGTATATGTGAATGATAAAATAGAAAAAATTAAAATGAAAATACTTGAACAATTCAGATTTACTGAGATAGAACTAAAATCATGTACAATAAATGAATTCAATCAATCGCAAACAAATGCTTGGAACGAAGGTACTAACCTTGAATTATCTGATACTATTCTGTCAAATCATTTGTACGAGACTGAACGTATAGTCATGGCAAAAGTGAGAATAAGTGAAGTAAGCTATTCATAATTAACATGTATAAAGTATTTCTCATAGTATTGCCTTTTTAATCTCGTTGAAGTTTTTTGATTTGGAACTGTTTATCGAAACTCTAACAGGAAAAACAATCCAATTAATGGGAAATTCTATGATGAATATTGAAGAAATTAAAGCACTGATCCAAGATAAAGAAATGATTCCTCCAGACCAACAACGATTGATATTTAAAGGCAAACTATTGGAAGGCCAACTTAGGTTGCTCGATTATGGGATTCCAAACCAATCTATCCTATATTTGGTATTGCGTTTGAGAGGCGGAATGTATCATCTCACTAGTGGACGACAAAACTTTAATACACTGCCTTGTGATAGCTTCAAAGCGATTAAAGATGTGTTCAGATTAACATTACCGGATACAACGAAGAATAATCGTTTATCATCTCTTAAACTTCAAAACTGTCTTATTCAAACACAATCTATTCTAGCGAACCTATATTATTCAAGTGGATTCATATTTACCGAAGTAAAGATACCAGAACTGAATACTCTCCTATGCTTGTCTATCAATCATAATGATACTGACAGTAGCACCAGCGTGGATAGTGGACAATGTCAAAGAGGAAAATGTCGAAAGCGCAAAGCAACGAAAGAAACTTCAAAGAGAACGTTGACTAATCTATCACAAAGATAATTAAAGATAACTAGGTTAGATTTTGGTCCACAATCTAATTGATCCACAAATCGAGCTTTATCGTTCCGATTACACTGATGATACTTCGAGGTTTTCAGGTATGGAGAACTCAAATGTGTACTGCACTTCCATCGGAATACAATTAGTTGTGCAATGACCAATAGAAATGAAGTTCTAGGAAAAAAGACTTTCTTCGAGTAAATCAAGGTGCAGAGTTCAAACTTGAGCTTAGTTCGGTCCCATATCCTATTGGTTTGGCGACGCGGAATATAAACCAACATTATAAATGGTAGATTTGACAGTATAATTTTGATATGTTTCGATAGTCTAGGATGATTGATTTGTATGATTCACTTTTTGAAGTACACATAACTCTCGGATTTAAATCCGAAGTTTCCGCGTTTATTTTTATTGGATTTGAATAAAAATATGTAAACAAATTTTTGTACTCTCGGACAAAATCAGTTTTGTAAAAAGAAATGAATATAATCTTAATCAATTTTTGTTTTCAAAATAGATGCAAAACCTCGGATTTAAATGCGAGTGTTATGTTTACTTCAAAAAGTGAACATGTATATTCACTTTGTTTTTTATCATCTGAGACAATTATCTAGTCTATTTGCTTTCTCAATGCAGGTTTTGTGAATTTTTAGATTTTTTTCATGGGATGTTTTGTTAGAAAGGTACGATTTGGTTCAAAACTAATATCACATTCGGAATCACCGTTAAAAACTGAGTCGATTTATACATGTTGTGAATACCCAGTGAAAAATATTCTCTGATTTCAATCCAATTCGCAATCTGATTGATAATTTT